GATAATGCCACTAAGACGCAAGGGAATGGAAGAACGATTTAATGGGAATGAAAAGACTTTTGAAGGAACCAAAAACCCAATCTAAACCGAGAACAAGGGATAAATCTCCACTCCTGTTCAAAAGACCAAGGAGGAGTGTGAACTGGGTGACAGATTAAAATTTAAAAGTTTAACATTTTCCAGGATAAGTAGAAATTAATCTCTTTTTGTTTTAATTTTCCATAAAAACAAGACATCAGACAGAAAGGACTGTCAGTAAAAAACAACCTTCAGACAATCACAAGCAACCAACAAAGACAGACAGCCTGAGTGAATCAAATGATTAAAAACCATTCTATCTGTAACACTGCAAAATTCTGCAGTCAAAGTAAATTTTGATACACTGAACTACATCATCATCATTAAAGGAAGAGAAAAAAACCCTTTAATCTTTCCTGTGACGTTTATAATTCATACAAATAATTGACCAAGAAATAGCCTGTGAGTTATTCCACTTGATTTTGCCAAAAAAATGTCGCTAGGGGCTACTCCTTAGGCCTATAAAAAGGCATGCATCTCTCTCCCAAGCCTCACTTTTCACTTTTTCCACACAGGCTTTCAAGTATAGTCGGATGTACCATTAGAATGCAGCTGCTAGGCTTACATGCATATTTTCTTTCACTTTTTTGACTTGAAATCTCTCACACGTGTTTATCCCACATTTATTACTCACATCTATACATGTGTATTATCATATACACAGATTTTGCATTCACAAAAATGCATATTCTCTTATAGCAAGTTTAAATGTTTTCTTCTTTTATTGTAATTGTATATTCATGTAACACCTTTTTTTCAATACATGCAATTAGTTGCTGTTTTATATTGTATTGTATTCAAATTTTTTTACTTGGACTCACATCGAGTCCGCAATAATTGTTGCAGCATAAATATTCCAGGAGACATGTTTCTACCTAAACACACTAGCTTTCCATAACAGTTGCATATTACGCTATTGCTATAAATTGTTAAATACATCAACGACATGTAAGTACTATCCAATTACACATTAGCAAATTGAAAAATAAAGCTTCCCCAAGTTTGAAATTTTGTTGATTTGTAAGTTTGTGTGGATTATCCCACATGAGCTTGCAAAAAAAGTAAAGTTGTTAGAGGGTGCTAGTTAAGCTTATAAAAAGGCGTGCACTTCTCTTCCTAGTCTCTCTATTCATGGGCTTTCATATGTAGTCACACATGGGTAAATGGTTCCCCCACTGGGACATGTTCATTTTCATGAATCTCTCTCTTTTGTACTCTCCTACATTTGTCTATCACATACAAAAATTTCACACACACACATACACATTCTCTTATAGCTAGCTTAAATGTTTTTCTATGTAACTAGTTTAAATGTTTTGAAGGCCGTGAAGGAGAGTGAGAAGAAGGGACTAAGCATAAACTACAAAAAGACAGAATGCAAGGTCATCAGTAAAAAGATGACCCCAAAATGCGATTTACAGGTTGGGGACACTAAAATCAAGCAGGTGGGGAAATTTAAATATCTGGGAATTGTTTTGACAGAGGTCGGTAAGTAATGACGCTAAGATCTGAAGACTGAAGATACATCCCAAAAACTAGGCAGAATCTTACGAGACAGGATGATTCCTTTGGTAACAAAGAAGAGCGTACTGACTTGCTATGTGATATCTGTCTTCCTTTATGGCAGAGAATGTTGGACAGTCTCCTCAAGGATGAAGAAGAGACTTGAGACAATGGAGGTATGGTTCTACAGAAGGATGCTAAGCAGATCATGGACTAAGCGTGTGAGCAATGATGAGGTTTTGCAGAGAATTCAAAGGAGGAGGAAACTTATACCAACATCATTGGTAGCAAGGAAAAGAGTACAGAGCTGCTACGTGACATCGGTCCACCTTTATAGCAGCAAATGTTGGATGGTCTCCTCAAAGATGAAGAAGAGACTTGAAGCAACAGAGGTATGGTTCTACAGAAAGATGCTAAGGATATCATGGACCGAGCATGTGAGCAATGATGAGGTTTTAGAGAGAATGAAAACCAGAATCATTATACTTAATATCAGGAAGAGGCAGCTGAAATTTCTGGGATGCATAATGAAAAAGGAGAGCTTGGAGAATCTGATACTCACAAGGCGAATAGAGGGAAAGAGGGACAAGGGAAAGCAATGCATGATGTATCTTGTGGGCTTAAGCAAGTGGATGGCTGAACAGAGAATGGTTGAAATAACAAAAAGACAAAACTTATTGAGAGCTGCAAGGGATCAGGGAAAGTGGAAAGCCATGATCGCCTACGTCCTGAAGGGACACGGCACATAAAAAGAAAAGATTGTCATATAATTCCTCTTTGTCAATACATCAAATTAGTTGTCTTTTGTTTTATATAGTTTAGTGTTACTCGTTTTTTTACTTGGACTCATATTGAGACCACTATAATTGTTGCAAGATAAATATTCCCGGAGATATGTTTTTGTTTATATTTCTGAGATGAGGTATTGTAACTATTTACATTATTTACATTGTTTGGGCTGTTGTCCTCATCTTTATTGCCATATTCATGACCAAGTGGATAAAAAAGTTGGTTGGATCCAGTGACTTAACCTAAAAAACTCTGAGTTCAATACCTGGCTACTGTAGTAGTGAACAACAAGTTGGAGAGTTGAATTAAAGGGAAATAACCGAGTCATCCAGAAGAGGCATGGCACGGGGAACTAGAACAATCTACTTGGGTTCAGTTTGGAATTCCAATCACCTGAAGAAGGTCGGAGTGTACAATGGTCGAAACGTCATGATTATGTTAATAAAGATGAGGACAACAGTTTGAACAATTTAGATAATGTAAATACGTACGTTTTTTTTACCTAAACACTCTAGCATCTCGTAAAAAAAATCTATCCCCCATCAATTAAATAAGGGGTTCAGTGTAGAGTTAAGAATTACCCAGTTCAATATACACTTGAGGAAGACCGATGAGCACAATTGCAGAAACGTTGTGATAAAAGTAACAAAGATGAGGACAATAGTCCAAATATAAAAAGTGTAAATAATGGCAACTCTTCATCCCAAAGATTCATTCCCTGTAAGTTACCTAGCTCAATATACACCTGATGAAGGCCAAAAGGCACAATGACTGAAACAATGTGATAACAATAGTAAAGATGAGGACAATAATCCAAAAGTAGTGTAAATAATGGTAACACCTAATCCCAGAAATTCAGACAAAGATTATGGAATCGGTATGGATCCGACGTGATGCACTAATGGAAGATAATAACAACAAAGATGAGGACAATAGTCCAACGTTTATTATTGACAATATTAGGAAGAAATAATTGTCAAAACAATTTTTTATTCATAAATTTACCAAATGATAAAGTTTAAAGCTTATAATGACAAGTAAATAAAATCCAGTTTCATATATTAGAGATTTATTCAGTCAGTAAGTTATGTGCCATGCATGATACACACTTAAGGCAATCATGTATCATTCGATACATGACTGATGACACAATTTTTTTTCCTGCAGTAGGTTGCCATTTTTTTTCTGCGGTAGACCAGTCGCCATCCAAGGCTACAAAACCCAGTCTGTCCTGCTATTTCCCCATAGCTGTTGGGGAGAAGAAGAGGATTCATACCTTTCCCAAGAGTATTAGCACATTTATTACAATTCTTAAAATAGCTTTTTTTCTTTTAAACAACAGAAATTACCAGTAGTGTCAAGAGAAAAACCATTCTTTTGACATACCGTTTTTATTTGCAGGTACGTTTGTTAAACTTTGCCAAGAAATCTTTATCTGAAATTACCATTTGTAATGAAAATTAAACTACTTTGCAGTGTAAAGTGTTTCCAGTTGTTCAAATAAAAGACAAGAACGTCCGAATATGGTTCTTTTATTTTTGGCATCAGGTTTGAAATTGACTCAAATATTGGCAAACAAGACCACAATCTTTTCGCTGCCCATGATGTCCTTTATATGAATAACTCTTTGCCCAAATGAATAATATGATTTTAATCCAGAAAATCCTGGTGATTTTCATGGTGCACTTGGCTAGATAGAGATGGATGAGAGTTATTCGTACTCTTTCTACTATTTCGGGAAACTGAGACAATTCTTTTGGACTTCATTCAACTCGGCTTCACTTGAACGAAACAATCTATATGAGAAATATCAAATAACTCTCCCGTTACAAAGAAAACCAAGAAACGTGGCAAAATCATTTTCTCTCTATTGGTTATGCATAGAGAAAGTCTAATCATTTATTGAAATGGTGTCGTAATGGTTATCAGCACAGAAAACGGAATTGCTAATTTGAGCTTGAATTTCAGATGAAACTTTTTCTATTTTTTTTTTTTTTTTAAATACAGTACTGTCATTTTTAAGCTTATTTGTATGGAAGACCTAAATTGTGGGGAGGGGGTTGACTTTGATAAAAGATGATATGCATTTGTTGAATCAGTTGCTATCTGAAAATTACCACCATTATTAACTCTTAAATCATTAATTCAAATACCTGCGGAGTGGGTGTTAAAAGATTTCAAGTACAGTCATTTTTCTGGGAAGATCTTTCGTCTCACTTTTTATTGCTTCAAGAAACGCAGACATAACATCAAACAGGGTTTTTCTGATGACATATATACAGGGTAGAGGAATACAAAATACAGGGTGGTAGAATACAAAATACAAGGTGGGGGGGTACAAAAAATGGGTAGGGCCTCAAGATACCTTCAGTTAGTGTCTCTGTAGAGGTTGAATAAATCTGGAGAGATGACACATCCATGTCTTATTCCCCATTCTAGTTTTGTGTAGATAATTCATTTTCTATCAACATGCAAGTGGTTTTGCCCCCAGTATAAGTGCTAGATTATTCTACTATCTTTTCCAATTAGATTGAGTTTTTCTAGTAGTTCAAATAGATCCTTGTGCTGGACGTTTTCAAATGTTTTTGTATAATTTATAAAACAGAAGTCCACATCCTTCTGCATTTTTAATGCTTTTTTTCTCTCTCCTTTTTATCCTCTCTTTATCTTCTCTCTTTCTCTCCTTCTTTATCTTTCTCTGCACACTTAGTTCTCTCTTTCTCACTCTTTCTTTCTTTCTCTCACTCTCTTTCCCACTTTCTTTCTCTCACTCTCTCTTTCTCACTCTCTCTCACTCTCTCTTTCTCACTCTCTCTCTCTCTCTCACTTTCTTTCTCTCACTCTCTCTTTCTCACTTTCTTTCTCTCACTCTCTCTTTCTCACTTTCTTTCTCTCACTCTCTCTTTCTCACTTTCTTTCTCTCACTCTCTCTTTCTCACTTTCTTTCTCTCACTCTCTCTTTCTCACTTTCTTTCTCTCACTCTCTCTTTCTCACTTTCTTTCTCCCCTTCTCTACTATCTCTTTCGCTCTCTCAATCTTTATTGCTCTTTCTCTCTTCCTCCCTCTCACTCTTTCCTGCTCTCTTTCTCTTACTCCTCTCTTTCTCTCTCACTCCTCTCTCACTTTTTACTTACCCCTGTATAAAACATGTGCACATCCTTCTGCATTTGTATTGCTCTCTCTGATCATATTAGATTGAATCCAGAGATGGATATGCAATGTGACTGGTATCTCGTCTACAGTCACTTTCTCACAGATGTGCCATTGCTTCCCCCTATTTTTTCTACAAATATTTTCATGGCAACTGCCCTGACGAGCTAATTTTGCTGGTTCCCAAAATGCTATTGATTAAGCATGTTACTAGCTTGGCATCTCAGTCCCACCCATTCATTGTCGAAATGATTAAATGCTGCTGTCTCTTCTACTCCAACAGCTTCTTATCTCGCACTTCCTGTCAGTGGAACTCCCTTCCTCTTGCTTGCTTCCCTGATAGCTATAATCTTCAAATATTCAAATGTAATGTCAATCATTATCTTCTGATGCCTTGATCTTGATCCCTGTCCTTCTCTTTATCCTTTCCTAAAAAAAAAAAAACTCTTCATTCTTACTTTCACTTTCGGTAACCCCTTGCCTGCTCGTGACACTCCTGTCTTGCTTGGGGTGATTTGCTTAAAAAAAAAAATAAATAAATTAGATTTCTTGTTTGGGTGTCCTTGACAGAGCTACACTATTCTTGTACTATTTCCTGTCTATTTCTGCTTCATGCTCTGTACATCAGGATTCACATCATTGGTTACGTGTGGCTCATTAAATCAATTGACCAATGGAGCTTGCATTCATTTGTAATTGGTTTATTAGGTAAATACTAAAGATGGATTTAATGATGTATGTCACCACTGTTATATATTTTGTTTATTACTTCTGTGATCTTGTTGATGTCAAAATTGTCTAAAGCTGAGTGCATTTCTGTGGAAATCCCATGATGTTTTGTTCCCATTCCTGTTCATGTTCTCCAGTGCTGATTTTACTTCATCTTAATATTGTTGGTCCTTTTGTATTTTCCAGCTTTGGAGTATTTTTTTTTCTTTACCAGTAATCCTTCCTTTGATTCTTTATAGAATCTGTTGTTTGGCTCATCATTCATCCTGTTAATTCTTTTATTCTACTGTGCTTCCTTGCTGTATTTGTGTTACTCACGCTTTTGTATTCCTGCACACTTTTCATTGAGTCATTCCTCTTTTGCCTGCTTGCATTTGTATAGTTTAAATTAAGGGTTTTCTTCCTTCTCTTCCACTTGACACTCTCAGCAATCAAGCAACTGGCAAAAATCATTAGTGATATAGTAAGCGTAAAAAACAAACTGGCTAGAGGGAACAAAATCTTGGCCTCTATAGATCGCCACTGGGTGAACGTATTCCAATCAATAGGAGGAGACATCTAATTAAAAGCTGAAGTCTCAAGCTGGTAGACTGAAATTCGTGTCTTTACTCACTGCATTGGACTATAAATTTTATTTTTATTTTTCTCTTCAGCCATAATTTTGTAGCAGGAAGACACACTCAACGGATTCTGGTTCAGCACTCACCAATATGACCTACATCCAACGGAAACCTTCTGCTGACTCAACAATCACTCACCGTTTTTTTATAAATTCTTGCCAAGCCAGATAATTTGCATATTGGGCATGCTGCCAGCCTTGATCTGACTCACTGATGCATCCACCTCGTCATTCCAGCACCGATGCTTGGACAATCTTCCTTGCTAGCAATTTGCTTGCACATTTAAACTCTAGCCCTCTTGTACCTTTGATGTAATTTGACACAAATTTGTAATTTCTCTTTTTTAGTGTTCATTACTCTTTCTACTCCCTGGCATTGTTTGCTGTCACATTTTCACCATTTCTGTAATCTATAATGGTGTGCGGTTTAGGGGTTAAAATAAACAGTTGATTTACCCATACTAAGAAGATTAACGCAGAATATTATGATGAGGAAACACACAGGTAATTTTAACAAAACAAAAGGACTTGCAAATCAGTGGTTAACTGGGGCAGCAAATGGCTTGTAAATTTTAATGCCTCTAAAATTAAACTGCTTCCATTTAACTACCATAGAGAAACTTTCCTGCCCCCCATCACAGCATGGCTGATGCTAGACTCCTGAAGAACAACACACTGCATCTTCTTTACCTCACGTTTTCAACTGACTTGAAGTAGAATGACTTTCATTGAATTAATAGCTGCATCTATTGCAAGGAAAATTTGGTCACTGTACTAATGCCGAAAGGTTTTTCTCATGGAAGTCCATCTTGCACATCCACAAATCTATTATTCATCTGTGAATTGAATACTATTACCATATCTGGTCTGGTGCTCCTGCTACTCGTCTCAAGATTCTTGACAAAATCCAAAGTAGTCTTTTCAATGTAATCAATCCTGACCTGGCATCTCGAATTCAGTTACTTTTTGACTGACGTGATGTGGTTTCCCTCTGTCGTTTCTACAAATATTTTCATGGCAACCACTGTGCCCGCACTACATGAATTTAAGCATGCTACTAGATTGGTTTCTAGGTCCCACCCTTTTACTTCTAATACAGCAGTTTATTTTCTCGCACTTCCTGCCTGTGGAACTCCCTTATGTTTACTTGATTCCATGATAGCTACAATCTTCAAAAATGTAAATGCAACATCAATCACCATCTTCTATCTTCCTGAATCCTGCCTATCATTTATCCTTTCCTCAATCCACATTATACCCAGTCTCTTTTCTCACTTTAACTCCTTGTAATCCCCTGTGTACTAGTAGCATTCCTGCCTTACTTGGGGTAAAATGATTAAAAACAAAGAAAAAAATTAAATAAACAAAAAGAAATAAAATTTTGTCAAACAAATAGACAAAAATAAAATTTTGTCAGATAAATAAACATCAACGAATAAAATACAAGATAGAGGCAAATAGCAATTTTAAATATCTGATAAACTTCAAAGTCTACTTTGGCTTGCTTAACACAGACCCTTGAATCCAACTTGTGCGAAAAGATTAAATATTTAAAGTGGGATCTTTTGGAAGGCATTGGAAGACAAAGTATATTTTTGCTGTCATTTTACATATTTAAAAACAAAACAACTCCAACTCTACATGGCTATCATTGAATTATTTTGTTTGAACTTTGATCAGGAAAAAATGAAGAGTGATATCAGAGGGGATAAAAGGGAAAAGGCTGGGCTAATGAGACAAGATAAAAGCATAAGGAGAGTACGAGAGATAAACAGAAGGGGGAGAAAGGGGGGAGAGAGAAATTGAGAGAGCCTGAAAAAGAGAAAGAAATGAGCCTGAAAGAAAAGGCAAAGAAGGGAGAACAATAGAGAGTTGAGAAGAGAAAGAGAAAAGGAGAGAGAAAGAGAAAAGGAGAGAGAAAGAGAAAAGGAGAGAGAAAGAGAAAAGGAGAGAGAAAGAGAAAAGGAGAGAGAAAGAGAAAAGGAGAGAGAAAGAGAAAAGGAGAGAGAAAGAGAAAAGGAGAGAAAGAAAGAAAAAACAAAGAGAGAGAAAAGAAAAGAGAGAAGGTAAAGAGAGACACAGAGAAAGAAACAAGAGAGGAAAGCAGAGAGAGAAAGAGACAATAAATAGACAAGGAAAATGAAGAGTGATATTGTTATGGTCCGGTTCCTTGTATGACGGTGATAGTCCAAGGTAGAACCAATAAAGAAGAACACAAATACGGAAATGGAATAACACAGATATATTACAAACAGGAATATATACAGAGAGGTAGAAAGTGTTAGTACGAACAATCAGGTTTAGTAATAATTGTCTGAACACGACTCTGTTTCAGACTGCCTCTGACTCGACAGACTGACTCCTGATGGACTTCTGACGGACCTCACACCAGACTTCAGACGGAACTCCCTGCTTCCTCTTGAGGTGCAGTATTTATTACATATGGAATAGTCCATTATGTTATTATGGGTAAGGTCCCATAACAGATATCAGAGGAGATAAAAGAGAAAAGGCTGGGTTAATGAAACAAGATAAAACCATTAAGAGAGTACGAGAGAGAAACAGATAGATGTCACATGGGGGAGAAAAGGGGGAGAGAGTAACTGAGAGAGCCTGAAAAAGAGAAAGAAATGAGCCTGAAAGAAAAAGCAAAGAAGAGAGAAGAATAGACAGTTTAGAAGAGAATGAAAAAAGGAGGAAGAAAAACAGATGCTGAGGAATGCGCGGAAATTATTAATTAGCAATAGAAGACAAACAGTTGAAATTTCTCAGGTATATAATGAGGAAAGAATACTTAGAAAAACCGACACTCTCAGGACATATTGAAGGCAAGGACATAGGGTAGCTGTGCATAACCTACCTAAAGGTGGTTGCATAAATGGTTAGCAGAACAAGGATTAGGAGAGATACCATGAAAACAAAATTTACAAAAGAGGTAAAAAGGACAAACATTTGGGGAGAGCCATGATTGCCAATGCCCTCACATGTGCCAGTGTCTGCACATAGAAGAACAAGCTTGTGTAAATGGTTGACAGAACAGAAATCTGGATAGATAGAGAGAGAAAAAAAAACTTTATTTAGAGCTACAAAGAACAGGAAATTGTGGAAAGCCATGATCATTCATATCATATCCTGAAGAGACATGGCACATAGAAAAAGAAGAAAGTTTAAGTACTCAAGATCGTGGAAATCAATTTTTTTATGAAATTTAATAAGGGGTCCAATTTGTCATATAAATTCCTTATAAATTGATCCCCACTACAGAAGCCAAAACAGATATGGTCTTATCACATGATTTCAGCACAACAGGTTACCAATATTTTAAGAAAAGAAAATTTTTTAGCAGTTAACAGGGTTCCAGTTTGCTATTCAAATGCATTGTAAATTTATCCCCCCATGTAGGAGCAAAAACAAATATACTCATATAATGCAATTTCTTAAAAGGTAACAAAAAAACTAAAATCTGTAATCTGGAGATTTTTTTTATCCACTATTGATTATGCGTTCCAAATTGCAAAAATATTTTTTGGGCTTCCATAGGGGATCAGTTTACAATAAATTTACATAGAAAATTGAACCCTCTTTTATAGAATTTAATAAAACATTTTTTATTTAAATAATCTTGATCCAGAGTGCTTAGAATCTGTAAATAGATTTTGTAAAACAAAAAATTGATGGTCTTAATATCATTTGGACAACTTAACAATACTAAACACTTCTGCTACTTTGCCTATGGATCAGCTATAACAAATTAAGTATAGGAGAAAAAGAAAATTGAATATAGAATAAGTTGTGCCAGAAGTAGTTTTACCAAACCCCCACAAACCAAATAATCAACATGAAAACTAGAGTTATGTTCTTAAATATCCACATCAGATTAAGGCTTTCATATAGATGCCCTGCATGGCACAAAACACATTCAGATATATCTAAACTCACCAGCTGTATACAACTGTATCTAAAGATCAATTATAAAAAATGACTGAGTGAGTAAAACCTGATAGTCTTGCCAAATATCATCCTTCCTTGAACACTGTGGACTGGTGCTACAGAATCATAAACAAAAATGGTACCAAATCATTTGAGGAATACCAACAGCAGCAACAACTAAAATAGATAGCACATGGAACTCTAAGCGCAAATAATGACAAAATCAAGATGTTGACATTCCACGCAACTTCAAATAAAAGGTTAGGAAGGAAACTCCCATCAATATTGGAAAGAGTGATAACAGCTACTGGACTTGAGAAGAGAAAATAATGACATAATCAAGATGTTGATGTTCCACATGACTTCAAATAAAAGGTTAGGAAGGAAATTCCCATTAATATTTCAAACATAACAGCTACTGGGCAAAGAAGAGAAAATAATGAAATAATCAAGATGTTGACATTCCATAAACTTCAAATAAAAGGTTAAGAATTTTTCCTCCCATCAATATTGGAAAGAGTGATAACAGCTAATGGACTTGAGGAGAGAAAATAATGACAGAATCAAGATGTTGACATTCCACATGACTTCAAATGAAAGATTAGGAAGGAAACTCCTGTCAATAGTGAAAAGAGTGATAACAGCTAATGGACTTGAGAAGAGAAAATAATGACATAATCAAGATGTTGACATTCCACATGACTTTTTGAAATATTAGGAAGGAAACTACTGTCAATAGTGAAAAGAGTGATAACAGCTAATGGACTTGAGAAGAGAAAATAATGACATAATCAAGATGTTGATATTCCACATGACTTCAAATAAAAGGCTAGGAAGGAAAACCCCATCAATACTGGAAAGTGTGATAACAGCTACTGGACTTGAGAAACCTATTTTCTGGAAAAATTGTATGAAGAGTAAGATTTTTATAAATCTCAACTATGACAGTACTGGCTGCTTGGTCAATGAATGCCAAATGTTTCCTTAAAGGGAAACAGCTAATATTACAATTGCCATATACAGACAAATCTCTCATCTATGGACTCTCACACCACAACATCAATGGACTTTGGATGCAACAGAAAAAATCTGCAGGCAAAAGAAAAAAGTTATGCAGGAAAAAAACTTCCAAATCATCAGAGATGTATTTCAAAATTTGCAGGCTTAGCAGAAAATGCTGTATTAGTTCTCAAAGTGACTGCTTGGTGTTGTGGCTGGCCTTTCAATTGTAAACAAAGACAGGTGTACAGTATATAAAGTATGATACATTAGTGTGTGCATGGGAAAGTAGCTGTGAGAAATCTATTATTTTTTTTTTTATTTTGATTAATATATTTATTAATATATATATATATATATATATATATATATATATATATATATATATATATATGTTTATGTATTTTATTAATTACATTACAATTATAACTGCAGGTAGTTAGTATAGTGTTTTTAAGACTAAAAAATAATCCCTTCTCATCTATGAACAATTGGCCTTAATGGACCATCCATATCCCTATTAGTCCGTTGATGTGAAGTTTGTATCAGGAAAATAAAGGTGAAAAGGATGAAAAATATTGATTCTTGACAAAATTCAAAGAATGGTCTGTAATGTAATCAATCCTCACCTGGAATCTCAACTTGAGTCACTTTTTTTTTTTTACAGAAGTAACAGGGCTTCTTTCTGTCTTTTCTGAAAATATTTTCATGGCAACTGTTCTAATAAGCTTTTCTCTATGGTGCCTTGACTGCATGAATTTAAGAATGCTACTAGATTGGCAACTGAGTCTCACCATTTTACTGTTCTATATTAATAGTTTCTTTTATCACACTTCTCTCCTGGAGAACTCTTTTCTGCAGTCTTGATTCTCTGCAAACTAAAAAATTTAAATGCAATGCCAATCACCATATTGTTTTCTTGAACCCTGTTCTTTTTCACTAAAGTTTTCTAATTCTCTTTCATTCATACTAATTGCTTGTGTCCTAATGACATTATCACCTTACTCGGGTTGAAATGATAAAAAAGAGAGAGAGAAATATAAGGCAAGAAAAGAAAACAAAGAGAAATATAAGGAAAGAAAAAAGTGAGAATTATAAGGCAAGAAAAGAAAAAAGTGAGAATTATAAGGCAAGAAAAGAAAAAAGTGAGAATTATAAGGCAAGAAAAGAAAAAAGTGAGAAATATAAGGCGAGAAAAGAAAAAAGTGAGAAATATAAAATTGAGAAAAGAAAAAAGTGAGAAATATAAGGAGAAAAGAAAAAAATGAGAAATATAAGGCTTCTGTCTTCTAAAAAAGTGAGAAATATAAGGCGAGAAAAGAAAAAAGTGAGAAATATAAGGCGAGAAAAGAAAAAAGTGAGAATTATAAGGCGAGAAAAAAAAGCGAGAATTATAAGCCGAGAAAAGAAAAAAGTGAGAAATATAAGGCAAGAAAAGAAAAAAGACAGAAAAATCTAAATAACCAATCAAAAGCTGATATGTACAAACAACAAGCCAAGTTTTCTCTCATATTTTGTTCGAAATTCTCAGTCTCTTTAGCTGTCATTATCATTTCATTCTTTTTTTCTTTCTCTTCCTCATCTGTCAAGTTCCCTCCCTCTCTTGATTTCACTCTCATTTATTTCTTTTGCTTCCTCTTCTACTTTTCAGTTCCTATTAATGTTAACTCAAAGTACAAAGTTTGAAGTGCCTGCATGTAAAATATTTCAAATAAAGATTTATATTTAATATTTTTTTGATATTTTCAAAATTGAGTATGATGTACCCATGGTTAGTAGTGATGTAACTTTAATTGATGGTTAGTGTTCTAGGGTTAAATAACACAGAAAGGATTGAGAAAACCATAAAAAAAATTAATCTACCTCAGTTTGACCCAACCATTTTCTACCAACCTCACACTCTTTATTGCACCCTCTTATTTTCATCTTTTTCCTCCTCTTCTACCTCAGTTCAACCCAACTATATTCTACCTTGCTATTATTCTCTCTCTACTTTTACTCTGTTCCACGTCTTTTACCTCAGTTCAACCCAACAATATTCTACCAAAATCTCACTTGATCTCATTCTCTCTCTGCCTTTTTATTCCTCTTCTACTTCAGTTTGATCCAACCATTATTCGACTTCATTTTTATTCTCCTTGCACCTATCTTTCTTAAACAAATATCAGAGGCTAACTTGAGTCACTTGCTTATCCAGCTGCAGTCATTAAAAACACCAAATATCTGCATGAGCAAAAAGAGAGAGAAAATAAGAATATTTGTTTACATGATTTAATTGTTACAGCAAAAACCCGATGGAGCAGCTGATCTTCTTTCTATATATCTATTTATCACACTATCTTTTCACTCTCAAGGAAGGTTCTCCATAGATAGGCAAGACAGATATGAGATAAATATCAGGTGTGTGTGTGTGTATGTATATATATATATATATATATATATATATAGGAGGCATGATGGAGTAATGGATAGCGGCTTGGATTAAGGAATTGGAGAGCCGAGTTCGAATTCCAGTCGATTCCAGTGCTAATACCTTTGGGAAAAGTGTGAATCCTCTTCTTCTCCCTCCAGCTATGGGTAAATAGCAGGATAGACTGGGTTCTATAGCCTTGGATGGCAACTGGTCTAGGAGAAGGACAACTCTGAATTCAAAACCTGCGGAGGGTCATTTGGGGACCTTGTGGCACGTAGTGTACCAGGTCTCTGTATCTGGCCCTTCAGAAAGTGTAGATGGTCCTGCACAAAACCTTCACCACTATAATCAAATCTCATGTGCTGTTGGTTTTCTAGAAACTGATATGCTTGGCACTCATACGTCAAATACGGAGAGTCAAAAATATAATATATATATATATATATATATATATATATATATATATATATATATATATATATATATTCAGGTAAAATGAGAACAAATGGAGTATGATTCCACTGTACTTAACATTTAACTTAAAAGAGAGCTCAATACAGGGTAGAACTAAATATTATTTATTTTAGGATATTAAGACATGTTAAAAAATCGCTACACAATGGCAGTAATGTTTCAACACTATAAATGTGTCTCTTCAGGTGATATTAAACTACAGTCAGTAGTTAACATTGCCTGAAGAGATACATTTATGGTGTTGAAACATAATTATAATTGTGTAGTAATTTTTAACATGCTTTAATATCCTAAAATAAATATATATATATATATATATATATATATATATAAGTAGATAGATAGATGAGAGACAGATAGGAGGTAGATAGGTGATAGTTAGGATATTGAGAGATAGATATGAGACAGATTAATAGATATGGAGCAGCTGATTTTCTATCTATTCACCACACTGTCTCTTCCCTCTCAAGGAAGGTTTTGTAAGATTGATATGGGACTGATAGATAGATAGATAGATAGATACGAGATATATATTCAGGGTGATTGAAAAGTAACTCCCATATGAGCAGGTTCTGTAAAGGTCTACACTGTCCAAATTAAAAAAAAATTTTTTTTTTATTTCTTGGGTGCTGAAAAAATTTTCATCACCCTGTCATGTGCACACAGATATGTAAAATATAAAAAAAATTATGAGGAAGGTGCTGAAAAATTCGCAGCCTGTTTTGCAAAGTCAGAATTTTTTTAATCCTTTTTTTGGTCAGACTCAAAATTTTCGGCAATTGTCTATGTGCATGAGGGTGGTGCTGAGAAGTTTACTTATATACAAATACCATTGAGAAAGGTATGAATTCATTTCTTTGTTTCCTCCTATCTATGGGTTCAACATTACTTCAGATTTTAGCTTTGGTTGCGAAAATGTATACAGAATTATGGGAATGTTTTATTTTCTAAATGTAATCAGGACATTGAGTCTTCTGTTCATAGTTAATATTATTGTGTGCTGGTTTTTTCTTTTTAATCAGTAATGTTTTCATTATTTTTACCCTTTTTTTTACATGTAGATGAAGCTATTATATTTCTATTATCACTCAACAATATCAACTATATTAATATATATATATATATATATATATATATATATATTGATATGTGTGTGTATATATATATATATATATATATATATATATATAATATATATATTATTATTTATATATTATATGCATGGTACTTATTAGAAAGCACTCAATTTCAGAAGTAGAGTTAACATTTGGTTGATTGATGCAAATATTAGACCTTGGGTTTCATTTTACCTTTCATGATCGTCAGAAACTCTGATGATCGCAAAAAATTGAAACCCAGAGTCACAAACTCACATCAATCCAACTAAATTATATATATATATATATATATATATATATATTATGCAAATAATATACAGAATGATTGAAAAGTAACTCTCTATTTTATCTATGAGTGGCCAGCCAAGAGTCCCGACTTAACACCTGTCTTTCATACCACAAGAGTTCCTGGTGAAATCAGTTGACATGATTCCTAGGCAACTTGAGAAGCTGGTAGTGGAATCTGGTGCCCATATTAAATTTTAAATAAAACCTCATGCTAAACACTTTCCTCTCATATCCATTTCTTGTAAAAATTATTGTTAATACATAAGTATTTTAAAATGGGGAGACACTTTTTTCAATCACACTGTAGATTGATAGATATGTGATATATAAAATTGAGAGATGGATAAGAAAGACAGAGCTGATCTTCTATCTATATATTGCACAGTCTCTTCACTCTTGAGCAATGTTCTTCAAGACAGTACACCAAATAACTCCATCCTGATGGTGGGTTGCCTTGATGTGGTAAGACAGTTTGCGTGCTTCAATGACCCCCAGAGATATGTGGGCAGAAGCTTTGACCTTTAGCCGGTCCAACCAAGCTGAACAGGTCTGTGGGGTAGGAGCCTGATGAAAGACATACCCTGGTCCTCCAGGTCAGGGGCTGTGCAGTAGGTTAACAATCTACTCACTTAAAAATAGCTTGTTGCTGAAACCTAAACAATATCTTCAAACAACGACATGCCTGAGGAAGAGTCCTCAAAAGTGGAGCATATGACACGTGTTGGTGAAAATCCTCCAGGATGGCAGCCAGCATGACATGGGCCAAGCTAAAGAATAATGTCCAGAACCATATCCATTGAAGAGGTGCTGCTGCAGCCCTATGTTCCCCAAAGAATTAAGAGGAATAATGATGATATCTCATGGAATAAAAATTACGAACAAAATAAGTTAAAAAAAATTTTAAATTATCATTTAAAATAATTACCTCCTTCATTTAGTCAAAATGATTACCTCATTCATTTAGTCAAAATGATTACCTCATTCATTTACTCAAAATAATCACCTCATTCATTTACTCAAAATAATCACCTCATTCATTTAGGAAAAATAATTACCTCATTCATTTAGGAAAAATAATCACCTCATTCATTTAGGAAAAATAATTACCTCATTCATTTAGTCAAAATAATTACCTCATGTAATATTGGTGAAATAACTTGTTTGCTCTTGAAAATATCTATTTTATTTTAAATTTGGAAGGGAAATATAAACAAAGGAAATTAGAAAAATTAAATATCATAAAATTAGACATTTTTTATTTAGCTTTTGCTGTGAAAATCAGTTTTTTAAAATTGCTTATATTAAGTGAGCACATTTGTATGAAAATTCATCTCTCTATTGGTGTCTACTATGAATATAATTTGGCTAGTCTCTTTTGGATTCCATTTAAAGGAACCAGGAATCCAATGCTACTTTCTCCTAAAGACAAAATCAAGTTATTTTTTGGCTTTCTGCCAAAAGATGAAAATTATTAACATATTTCAGTCTGTCTTTTTAAACTTTTCTTTAAGACTTGTTGCAGGCTGCTTTACACATTGTGAGCTAAACACGGGTGTCTCCTGAAATGCCTGCAATAAAAATGGCAGACTCAGAATATGTCTACCAAAAATAATGTAAAGAAACAACAAGAACTGATATATATGTACAAACAAATTAAAATGTATTAACAACAAAAGGGGTACAAATGACAAAGACAATAGTGCGTGTAAAAAATGAATGTGGAAAGTTTTTGGTCCAAAGTATGTGAAGTGAGAAAATGTGTGTATGTATGTGTGTTCATACATTTCCTAAAAAGGGAACACAATCTTCTGCGATAGATTTACATTATTGTTGTATAAGCAGAAAAGTAAGAAGAGGGCGATAAAAAATTATCGCAGAGTATTTATAGTGTTGGAGAGTGTCCCCTAGGAATGGTTTCAGAAATTAGGAGATAAATTGACAGTCTTACAGAACATTTGAGAGGTAACATCATAAGTATTTTTTTAAATTTTGAAATTAAATATTTTCTCCCCTTTTTTTGAAAAATAAATTCTATGTAAAATTTTGCAAGAAAACAAAAATGAATCATCATTGAGCTTCAAGTATTACATTCAGAAAAAAACAAAAAATGAAAAGGATAAGTTAGACTGTCTTACTTATCCTTTTTTGTATGATTTGACCCCTGACCCAATAAGACTAAAAATGATGGATGCAAAAAAATCAGTGAAATGCATATTATTCACAAATTCTATTCAGTATTTTTCAGTGTTATTCTTTTTTTTTGTTGTTGTTGTATTTTTGAGAAAATTAGAAACTAGAAGCAATAGATAAAAGTTAAAATCTTACCACATTAAACAGCAAAATTTAATTTTACTCACCTGAAAATAGAAAAAAAATCATCAGATTAGACACTAAAGGTGGAAATTTATTCATGGCTTTCAACAATTTATAATAAACAGAGATAGAAGTATATACATAATCTAAGGTAGATAAACAGATGATCATAGATATGGACAAGATGAGACCGACGCAGAGACAGGGACGGGACGAGACCGAAGGAGAGACAGGGACGGGACGAGACTGACGCAGAGACAGGGACGGGACGAGACTGACACAGAGACAGGGACGGGACGAGACTGACACAGAGACAGGGACGGGACGAGGCTGACACAGAGACAGGGACGGGACGAGGCTGAAGGAGAGATAGGGACGGGACGAGGAGAGATCAGAAGGGAGGAGGCCAGAGACAGGGACGGGACGAGGCTGAAGGAGAGACAGGACGGACGAGGCCAAGGAGAGAGAGAGAACGACAGAGGCGAGGTGAGACAGGGACGGACGAGGCCAAGGTGAGACAGAGACGGGACGAGGCCGAAGGAGAGACAGAGACGGGACGAGGCCGAAGGAGAGACAGGGACGGGACGAGGCCGAAGGAGAGACAGGGACGGGACGAGGCCGAAGGAGAGACAGGAACAGGACGGGACGAGGCCGAGGCAGAGACAGGGACGAGACCGACGCAGAGATAGGGATGGGCCGAGAGAGAGAGACAGATGTATATAAAGGAAAAAGACAATAGGAAAACTGTAGTTTTAGTCATGTTGCATCCAATGTGGACATTTTCGTGGTAAAAAACGAAATGAATTCATTGAAACAAAGTATCTATAAACAACAAACAAAATGCTGTCAGCAACTAGAATTTAGATAATGCTATTGTATAAATGTTTCTAGTTGTTGACAACATTTTGTTTTGTTTATAGATATTTTGTATGTGTGTATGTGTGTGTGTGTGTGTATATATATATATATATATATATATACACACACACACACAAAGTTTCAATAAATTTATTTCCTTTGTACATAGAATTAAACTGTTAAAAAAGACAGAAATTTTTACATTATTCTGAGCAGACTGCGAGAGAGAGAGAGAGGTCTGAGCAGACTGCGAGAGAGAGAGAGAGGTCTGAGCAGACTGCGAGAGAGAGAGAGAGGTCTGAGAGAGAGAGAGAGAGGTCTGAGCAGAGAGAGAGAGAGGTCTGAGGAGAGAGAGAGAGAGAGAGGTCTGAGCAGACTGAGAGAGAGAGAGAGGGTCTGAGCAGACTGAGAGAGAGAGAGAGAGAGACTGAGAGAGAGAGAGAGGTCTGAGAGAGAGAGAGAGAGAGGTCTGAGCAGACTGCGAGAGAGAGAGAGAGGTCTGAGCAGACTGCGAGAGAGAGAGAGGTCTGAGCAGACTGCGAGAGAGAGAGAGGTCTGAGCAGACTGAGAGAGAGAGAGAGGTCTGAGCAGACTGCAGAGAGAGAGAGGTCTGAGCAGATAGAGAGAGGTAGATAGATAGAGAGAGAGAGAGGTAAATAGAGAATAGAGAGAGAGAGGTCTGAGCAGACTTATAAACAGAGATAGATAGATATAAAGAGAGATAGATAGATATAAGAGGTCTGAGAGATAGATAGAGGTAGATATAAACAGAGAGAGAGAGGTAAATAGATAGATATAAACAGAGAGATAGATAGATAGATATAAACAGAGATAAATAGATAGAGATATAAACAGACTGATAGAATAGATAGATAGATATAAACAGAGATAAATAGAGAGATATAAACAGAGATAAATAGAGAGATAGATATAAACAGAGATAGATAGATAGATATAAACAGATAGATAAATAGATAGATAGATATAAACAGAGATAGATAGATAGAGATAGATAGATATAAACAGAGATAAATAAACAGAGATAGATAGATAGATAGATATAAACAGAGAGATAGATAGATAGATAAAACATAATAGATAGAAAAATAGATAGATAGATATAAACAGAGATAGATAGATATAAAAAGAGATAAATAGATAGATAGATAAACAGAGATAAATAGATAGATAGATATAAACAGAGAACAAATAGATAGATAGATATAAACAGAGATAGATAGATAGATATAAACAGAGATAGATAGATAGATATAAACAGAGATAGATAGATAGATAGATATAAACAGAGATAAATAGATAGATAGATATAAACAGAGATAAATAGATAGATAGATATAAACAGAGATAAATAGATAGATATAAACAGAGATAAATAGATAGATAGATATAAACAAAGATAAATAGATAGATAGATATATAAACAAAGAAATAATAGATAGATAGAAAGAGAGATAAATAGAGATAAATAGATAGATAGATATAAACAGAGATAAATAGATATAAACAGAGATAGATAGATATAAACAGAGATAGATAGATATAAACAGAGACAGACAGTTAAAAATCTGGTGTGTACAAACTCCAAAGCCTCAACCAGGGTGACAAACCCGATTGCCGGCCTCAGTCAGTGCCTTGCAAGTCTCGCTATCTTATCAAAATTTGCTTTTTTTCTACCTACATTAGTATGTCATAAACTAAGCACAACTGATTATTAAAGGATGAAAGTTTTTGCTAATTTTGACGTCATTCTGGTTTTTCCATTGAAATCACTATATTTGTTTTGCTTACATTAAGTCTTGAAAAAAAAAAAACTCTCTCTCTCTCTATATATATATATATATATATATATAATATTCATCAAGTTAAATCTGTTAAATGTTTTTAACAAGAAAAATGTTAAAAAATTCTGTTAAACATTGACATATTTAAAACAGAATAAAGCTCTTATGACATGTCACTAATTTGTATTTAGATACATTGTTTTAATTTACGATTTTTACAGTTGAATTGTTCACCTATATTGTATATGATCCATTATTGTACATAATTAGGTTATAATAAAATTTGTATTTTATATGAATACTAGCTTAATGTATATTGCGAGGTCATTTCAAGCCAGCAAGTCATTGCCCTTGTTTATACTTAAACTTATGCACCTAAATAAAAGAAAAAAAGACAGCATAAAATTAGGTGTTGGTCTTCCTGCAACAGTATCTGCAGTAAAGTTTGTTTATACATATATAAGCAAGAGAGAGCATGAGATTATATATATATATATATATATAAGGAAAAGATATATAAAACAAAGAAATAATATAAACATATAAAAACAACATGATATATATATAGATATATAAATAAAGAAATATATATATATATATATATATAAAAATGAAACATGCATTTCAAAATAGAAAATTATATATATATATATATATATATATATATAAAAAACAAAAAAATATATGTGCATAAAAATAAATATATATATATATATATATATAAAAAAATATATATACATATAAAAACAAAGAATAGATATATACTTATAAGACATACATATAAAAAAAGACATGCAAAAAAAAAAAAATATATAAAATATATATAATATATAATAATTATATATAAAAAAAGGAAAAAAAAAATATATATATATATATATATATATATATATATATATATATATATATACACACAGATATAAAGGAAAAAAAAATATATATATATACTCATATATATATATATATATATATATATATATACATTACACACACTAGATATAATATATATATATATATATAAAATAAAAGCATATATATATATATATATATATATATATATATATATATATATATAAAGATAAATGATTATATATATATATAAAGATAAGTGATTATATATACGTTATATATATATATTTATATATGTATTATATACACGTATATATATATATATATATATAAAAAGATAAGTGATTATATACACGTGTTTGTATGTATATATATATATATATAAAGATAATGTGATTATATACAAATTTTTTGTATGTATATATATATATATATATAATGTTAAAGATAAGTGATTATATACACACACATTTGTGTGTGTAAAATATGAAAAAATAACAAATTACTCAAAGATGAAAAAAATGATTGCACATATATATTATATATATATATATATATATATATATATATATGAAATAAAACAGAGTTTTAAGTATGTTATAATAATGGTTTAAAGTGCTCCATATCAGGGATAGAGTGTATATAAACATAAAATTGTACATTGATATCTACACTCATTTCATTATTTCATGCTTACACACAATCATCAGGCGCTGTTTTTCCTTAACTATTTGTAAGTTAGTGATGCATTGATTTTAGTGTATTGTATTGTGCTGACAGTTATGTTTTGAATTATTCTAGGGGTTACTGGTGGTAATAACTTTTAATTTGTTTATTATTTACTTAGTGTAAAATGAGCATATAACAAAGACAAAATATGCATCGTAGGTAAATGAAGAACCCTGCAAACAAGAAACTATGAAATAAAAACATCCTTTACAAGTAGTAAATATTTGAACAGCACAATGCTTTCTAAACATATCTGGAAGATTAAAAACAAAAACCAAATCTCACCAAAAATATCATGGAAAATAAGGAAAACAGCATCAGCCTCCAACAATACATCCAAAAACTGTAAACTCTGCCTGGAGGATAAAATAGCTATAATTACCTTCCCAGACCAACATAAACTACTAAATAAATGATCAGAACTCATCACAAAATGCAGACACAAAAACAAATTTTTTACTATGTTACTTAAAAATACAAAACTAAAAATGAACAAAAATAAATAAAAAGTAAACTAAAAAATAAAATAAATTAATCCAAAACAATAATTAAGTAAATAATAAATGAATTAAAAAAATCATGAACATACATACATACATACAGGTAAATGCAATAACACCCAGCCATAAAATGATAATAAATATAAATGTTAACAACACTATAAATAGCCCAAAAGCTGCACCTGGATCCACAATTATTTCCACCCAATAGTCCCTAGAATAATTTGAAACAATTATTACCACCAACCAAAATAACAATTAGAACAATACAACATACTACCCACAATGCATCACTGATTAGTATATATAAACGGTCGATGAAAAAGAAAAAAGATTATATAAGAAAATGTGATAATGAACATTAATACTTTTATGGCAATGATTATTTTAGATACATTATTGGACTATGTCACAAATTCTATTAATGACAAAAGGTTCCCAACTAACCACAATTAAAAATCCAAAACTAAAAATGAGCAAGAATAAACAAAATTAAAGTAAAAAAATTAATAAAATAAATTAATCCAAAACAATAATTACGTATGATATAGACAAAATTGATGAAAAAAAACGAAATAAAAAAAAAAAAAATGAAAACAGGTGTATCCAAGCCACTTGAAGTCAACATACAAAACAAAATGGTGTATGAGAAATAATAAAGAGAACTTAAAAAAATAGTACATAAAAAAAAGCAATTAACTTTGCTGATAATCTCTCTGCAGATATGACATCTTGCCTGACTCCTGACCACAGTTAGGTTACCTCACTCTGTCTCATTATGTATTTGCCTATAGAGAGAGACAGACAGAAAGACTGACAAATTTAGGAATGATAAACTGATTTTGTATATATTGCCATAAACTTACACAAATTCATATATATGATTGAAGGCTCTTGTGTATTTTCTCATGATCAGGTGACTAGCAAGGAAGATTTTTCATTGGCTAAATATATCCTGAGTTGTTGAACATATCTAAAACAATAGTTCTAATGTTGAAAACGATTTCGGTTAGTTTGGCATTCTTTGGATTAAGTCCTTTTTTTTAACAGTTAATATTAAATATTAGTAAATGTTTAAAATTATTTGTCTTATGTTAGTGGATCTTTTATTACTTATGTTTTTTGATATAGATTGCTTTGTGGTCCATAAGGTGACACATTAACTTGTAGGACAGAGTAAAAAATGGTAACATACAAAAATTGAATTTTTTTAGCAGTATAAGATAGAGAAAAATAAACGCTAATAGCAAAAAATTCCAAATATGCTCATAAGAAAAGTTAAAAATTGGTTTTAAAAACAAGATAAATTATTAAATGTAAAAAATGAATTCCTAGGCAAACATCTGTCAAACCATTTAAATATTTATATATATATATATATATATATATATATATATATATATATATAGATAACTAATTGTTTAGGTGAAACCTAGGTTTGTTTGGCTCACTAGGTGTATCTAGGTCTGCTCTACGGTTGTATTGAGCTCTTTTGTTAGTTAGTTGTTACTCGTATCGGGGTTTTTTTTTTGGGCTTCAGACCTGCATCTGTGCGATTTTTTTTTTGTCGGCAGAAGTTCATGTTTGTAGCTCTTTCTTTTTTAAAACCTTTTTTTTTCTTGAGATTGATTTGATTAGCAAATCAAAATTTCGAGGGTTTTTTAAAGGTTTGTCTGGCTCATACTAGGTATATATATATATATATATATATATATATATATATATATATGATCAAAATAAAAGTATAAAACTTAATATTACGAGACATATTAAAAAAAAAATTGAAGCAAAATGTTTTGCTCCTGCTCTTCAGGCTCCAACAAGAGGAAAAATGTACAATAAAAGGAATTGTAAAAAAAAAAAAAATATGCAAAAGGAACTAGAGACAAATGACACAAATGTCGGTTGTCTCTAGTTCATTTTGCATATTTTTTTTTTTAATATGTCTTTTTAATATTAAGTTTTATACTCTTATTTCGATCATTAAATTTTGTACCTACATAAATATATATATATATATATATATATATATATATATGAAAAGTGTATATAAATAAATATATATATATATATATATGTATAATTATTTATATATTATATGCAAAGTACTTATTAGAAAGCGCTCAATATCAGTTTGTCTGAATTCGCTAAAGCGTGAAACCCAGGGTCACAAACTCACATCTCTCAACCAAATATATATATATATATATATATATATATATATATATATATATATATATATATATATTTTTTTTCATGGTACTTATTAGAAAGTGCTCACTTTCAGTGATATATATTTTCATGGTACTTATTAGAAAGTGCTCACTTCAAGTGATAGAGCTAACATATTCCATTGTATGGATATGAGTTTTTAACCCTGGGTTTAACACTTTTGTGATCATCAGACAAACTCATTTATTTTTTAAAAATTGAATCTATTTATGTTAGTTTGTGTTTGATTATGTTTGATGCGGGGTGATTCTCCTATGAATATATATTTGTGCATGGTCTCACATTGTTTATATGTGTGTGTGTTTGAGTGAACTATAATGCATATGTATATGTCTGTGTGTGTATAAGTGCCATCCCAAAACAGACAAGAGAATCCACCCCCTAAACATAATCAAATTATATATATATATATATATATATATATATATATATAGAGAGAGAGAGAGAGAGAGAGAGAGAGGAACGGTGGAGTAATGGATAGCGGTTGATTGAGGAATTCATAGAGCCGATTTCAATTCCAGTTGAATCCATTACATTCACTTACGTGCTAATACCCTCCAGCTATGGGTAAATAGCAGGACAGACTGGTTTCTATAGCCTTGGATGGCAACTGGTGTAGGAGAAGGACAACTCTGAATTCAAAACCTGCAGAGGGAAAAAAAATGGAGACCTTTTTTTTAGTGCACCAGGTCTCTGAATTCAGCCCTTCAAAAAGCGTGAATGGTCCTGCACGAAACCTTCACCGCTATAATCAAATCTCATGTGCCAGTGTTGGGCTGTCGGTTTCGTGGGAACTGATCTGCTTGACCCTCATACATTGAATTTAACGGGAAAGTCGACTATATATATATATATATATATATATATATAAAATCACAATCCTGTCATTTTATTTTTTATACAGTATTTCTAATTTTACATCATGCACATTGTTTTTTCTCGCTCAGAACTCAAGTGGAACTCATATATGTGATCTATTGCTAAATATGCAAGAAAAATGGTCAGTTCATTATACCATTCCCATAAGTATCTGATTCCCTTCTCTCTTTACAAGAGCCAGATATGACCCAAAATGGAGTATTGCTGCCATA